GGACATGTTATCAGAAGGGATCAGTCCCTGGAGAAGGACATTATGCTTGGTAAAGTAGAGGGTCAGCGAAAAAGAGAAGACCCTCAATAAGATGGTTTGACACAGTGGCTGCAACAACGGGCTCAAACACAGCAACAGTTGTGAGGATGGCACAGGACCCGACAGTGTTTCTGTTGTGCATAGGGTTGCTATGACTTGTAACCAGCTCAACGGCACCTAACAACAACAACATGCTTAAGTGACACAGAACGATATCATCAGTACCAGGAGCTCTCTGTGGTCATAATTTTCAGCTCAGAAAATACCCATGGCAGATTGGGAGTGGAAGTGGTATTGCGGTGCAGGTTGATAAAGTATCGCAAATGATTCTGATGTATCCCTTTCCATCTGAATGAAGGACACAGATACAGAAAAATTAGAAGGCACTGAGTATGCAGTCTATAAGTGCTGTGATAGGGAGGCACAGTTCTTTGAGCAAGCTGGAGGAGAATGTACAGTGGTGTTGGGTGGAGGTCAAGGACAACCTTCTGGAGGAAATGACATATACAATGAGAACTGAAAGAGCAGTAGGAGCTGCTAGTCACGAGATGGAGCACGGGGATGGGAGGAGATGGTATGACAGCATTCTAGGAATAGCCTTTGTGAAAGTGCAGAGAAACAACAAAAGAATTTGGTATCATTAGAGGAACTGAAAGAATTTAGGAATGGCTGGAGGGTAAAGTGCAAGCAAGGGGAGTGGCTGGAGATCTAGGCCTGGGCCCACTCTTGAGGGACTTTGTAACCCAGGACATACTTCATTCGGAGGGCAATTGGAGCCTCTGAAGGGAAATGATGGAGCAGATATATGGCTGCACAGTAGAGAAGGTTTTAGGGACTAGTATACAACTGTGGTTGTACAAACAGGTACAATCTCTTTCCCTTGAAGTTTTCCTGATTTGATTGTCCCTTCTCAGATACTAATCACAGATAAGCTTCCAAAACTATAGGCAGTTCCTCTTTCCTGCTCTCTCCTCTAAATGCTAATGACCAGAGGATAAGGCAACAAAAGACAGAAGCAAAGATATTTCTCATCTGAACTTGAGTTAGTCTAGCTCATTCTGAACATCACCTCACCCCTAACTTACATGGTAAATCACTCAGTTCCCTGGTGGTGTAGTGGTTAAGAGCTCAGGCTGCTAACCAAAAGGTTGGTGATTCAAATCCACCAGCTGCAGGCTCACTATGAGTTGGAATTGACTTGATGGCACACAATAACATGTGTTTAATGGGAAGAACAGGCTCTACCATCTACCTAGTAACTTGAACTAGGAGTGAAGTGCTAAAGTTTTATCAAGATAGGAGTGTAAACACTAGGCAATGAGAAAATCAGCTTAATAAGTAATTTTGGTTTTTCTGATCAGTCTCTCTTACAAGAACGTGCTACCTGATACCATGTTTAACCAGGACTAGGTTTATTGTGGTTGACAGGATGGCACAGATGAATGAGTTTACAGTTAATGTTCCACATTCATGTACACCAGCAAGAGCTTTCTACGTGAAGAAGCCATTGCCTTCCTGGTGTAATGTGAGGTGAGCCTGGAAGGTCCCCTGACCAAAGTCAACCGCCTTTCTCTGTAGAAACAGTTCCTAATAGAGGTTCAGAGCGTAGGCTTTGGAGTCAGACTGACTGGATTCACATCTGTCTTAGTTGTCTAGTGCTGCTGTAACAGAAATACCTCACCTGGGTAAAAATAATTTTGTTTTGTCTGAATCTGTTTCCTTATCTGTAAAATGGGGATAATAGTACTCATCTCATTCAGGTATTGTAAGAATTAAATGAGAGAATGTCTGAAAAAGCACTCAGCATGCTGCCTAGCACATGAGAGACAAAAACCAAACCGTTTGCGTTGGAGTGATTCCTACTGATAGTGACCTTTTAGGACAAGGTAGAACTGCCCCCATAGCGTTTCCAAGGCTGAAATCTTTACGGGAGCAGACTGGAGCCAACTGCCACATCTTTCCCCCCCCGGGGAACAGCTGGTGGGGTTGAACACCACCTCAGCTGGCAGCAGAGCGCTTATCCACAGACCCACTAGTCCCCAGCACACAGCAGTCTAAAGTCATCAGCAATCAGCACCACCTTTTTTGTGTGTTAAGCTTTGCCCAGGGGTCTAACCCTAAGAGACCTATTTACTAAGGTTACCTTGTAAAATCAAACCAAACCAAACCCAACCCAACCCAACTGCTTGCTGTTGAGTGGATTCCTACTCATAGAGACCCTATAGGACAAAGTAGAACAGCCCTGTAGGGTTTCCAAGGCTGTAAATCTTTACGAAGCAGACTGCTGCGTCTTTCTCCCACTGAGGAGCTGGTGGGTTCGAACCTCCCCCTTTCGGCTAGCAGTGGAGTGCTGAACCACTGCGCCACCAGGGCTCCTTGGTTACCTTGTAACGACCCTGCATCTGGAAGTGAAAGAGTAGCAGAGTAGGTGAGGCTAGTGTCCTTAATAGTTTCCAAGAGTTTACTAATTCCCAAGATCCTCCTACCTCACGCTCGATTACAGATTTCTAAGGGGCAGCGACCAGGCCCTACTAGATGGGTCCCTGGCAGAGAACAAGCTTTTTGTAACCACATCCCTAAATACTGACAGATGAGATTCCTGACAAGGTGTTGAGAAATCATTCAGTCCTACACACTGCAAGGATTCCTGCCCATTCACCACCTGTTTTCCAGGGGTTGACGTGCGCTCAAACTAAACACAGGACAGCAGCTGAGCACTCTGTGCGAGTCCCCACCCCCTCGTGGAATTTAGGAAACCCATCTAAGCATAGAGGTATCTTTAAAAGGAATAAGTTGTGGCTCGCTGGGGACAGCAACGCGTGGCAACTTGAGGGTGGGGCTCAGGGCACTCAGGCCAGGAGTATATCGAGACACACCAGCCTCCGCCCCTTTGCGTGAAATCCCTCAACGCTGCGCTCCTGGCAGCGCAAACAGCAGAAGTCTGCGGCGCCGCAGCGCCTCGAAGAGCCAAGGTTCACTGCCTGGAGAAGCCTCTCCGAGAAAGAGGGAGGTTTGGGAGAAAAAGAAACCCGGCCCTGCAGATGCGACCGTTGAGGTCTGTGTCTCTCCTCTGTTCTGACGTAATGCCAGTTTCCTGATTTCGCATTGCAGTGTGCAGTTCCTTAGCTGGGAAGTCTGAAGATCAATCGATCGCACGCCAAGATAATCACTGCCACTTATCTTGCAATTTATTTTCCACGAATACACTTCAACTGGTCCAACAACCCCGCCCCCAAATTCCACGACTTTTGGCATTTCAGGCGGTATTGTTCTCCCCTCCCCCCAGGAAGGCTGCCTCTGCGCACAGTACCCCCAGCATCAGGAAACTGCGTCGGATTGTGGCTCAAACGTAGGGATCGGGTAGTGTCGGTTCAAACCTTCTGCTCCCCGCCCCGCCCCCCCGCCAGCTTTTTTGATTTTCCAAACCCCTGGCTTTGTTTTAAGCAAAAGCATTGTCGAGGCAGCACCGTTTCCTCCCCCTCTTCCGAAACCTAGCTAGGAGTGGATGAAAGTCCTCACGAAACGTGCACGAATGCCCTCCCCACGCCCCCAAAGGGCCGGGACGAGCTTCGACTGCCCCACCACCCCACGCGCACCGCGCTAACTGACACTCCGCAACCACCGCCACCACCCAGCGGAGCCCGGGGAGACTCCCAAGGGCTCTTTAAATACGATCTATAAATACTACGGGCGCTCGGCGCTTGCGTCATGGCAGGGCCGGCCTCCGATTGGCCCTCGTAACGCTACTTATTTGCATTGCCGGATCGCACAACCGGGCGGCGACCTCGGTCTGGCGCTCGCGCCTCGCCGCCCCTCCCCCTCAGAGGGCGCGCGAGACCGCGGGCGGGGCCAGCGGGGTGGCGGCCGCGCGTTACGGCGACAAGCGCAGAGCGGTCGCAGCTTCCAGAGTTGCTTGAACTCAGAAATTTCTCTTTGTAAATCTTGAGTCATGCGGCGGTCCCCCGGACGCCGACTGTCTCCCAGGAAGATCAAGTTTGGCAAGCAGTGAGCAGGCACATTTTCTACTGTATCTTTTTGCTTTCTGCAAAAAGAAAAGACAAAGTTTGAAGAGCTACACCGGAGCAAACAATTCTAGGTGGCTCGCAGATGTTGAATTTAAACTACGTGAGGCCGGGACACGCAGCAGAGCCCTGTCCAATGACTTGCTACTTAGGGTGTTCAAAAAAGGCTGTTGCATTATCACCAGTAAGCTTGAAAACGAAATAAGGTGGGTTCGGGAAATGCAAGCTGCATGACCTTCTAGTTTTAAATCTAAGTTTAGAAAAGTGCACCAGTTAGCCATTGTGAAGCGGTGATGCGAAAACTCCCCATTGCAGTTCTTGGAGAAGAGAATCTCTCGTAGCAATGGAAAATTTTTAGCTGCTCGACTCTGACGGGAGTTGATAGTTGCGGAGAGGGAAGTGGTGGTGGCGAAGGTCAGAAAGGGAGAAAGAGACCACGCTTTGGAAGTGGGGAAGCACCTCGGCGTTGCTGAGTGTAGAAACATGATTCTGTTAAAAAGGGTTGCTATTGATGGCGCGAGAGAGATATGCAGATATTATATATTAATATTCCGTTGTTACACAATCATTTATCTGGTCAGAATGTAAACAGAATAGGGACTGTTTCTGCGATATACTTCAAGCATTTTAGGTAGAATTTATAGCATACTGAATTCTTTTCTTTTGAGTAGAATAAATATGGTAACTTTTAATTCCTTCATTTTGTTTAAAAATATTCTGCCAGTAAAGCGCACGGCATGTTCTCAGGTTTCAAGGCTTCCTGGGATTGCTGCTGAAAGTATATACTGCTGTCTTGTACGGTCCACAATTAATATTCGTGGAATGAAACAGTTTATATTTATTCAGAAAAGACTAAGCATGTGTTAAAGCAAAGATCTTATTAAACTATATTTCATAAATATTCTTTGACATCTCTTCCCCCCAATGAAACTCAAAGCTCATACAGACTCTTGTTATTTGAAGAGAATAGTTTAACTACAGTGTAAAGTTGGACACTAGCGAATACGCGGCTCTAAAAACTAAAAAAAAAAAAAAAAGAATTTTAACGGAAGAGCTCCCTCTGCTGTCTAATTGTTTATGGGCAACGCACCTGAAAAGTCTACAACACCTGGGGTAAGCTCATTGCAAAACCAGAAGGGTGAACTTTAGTATATTTTTCATTGAGAATATGTCAAGTCATTTTGTAATTCTAGCCGTTTTAATCGTTACTATCAAGCAAGTGCGATTATTCTGTTGTATGACTGGCAATTGAATATAGCTTAAATAACTTTCTCATTTCCATAGTAATACAAACCAGTTTATGCTTTAAAACGAGTCTGGATTATATTACAAAAGTTGGGCTTGTCTTATAGTCATTATTCTCTGCATTAACAGGTATTAATGTAAGAAAAAATTTTAATTATCAAAATATCTTTTCCAGTAATTTTAGTGCTATGGAGTATGAATCATCAAAGTTGACTGATTTGAACACAGAATACTTGTAATGGTCTTATAACAGCCATTCCCTTCTCAGATTGTTTCCCATTATCTTAATCAGTGTTTCTAATTTCCAAGGCAATGAATAAATGCACACATAACCTGTGCCTTCATGATGATCATCTCCTCAATATAAAAACTGACATTTTACTGTACTATCTATGTATTTATTATATTTATACAGTGTTGTTATTTCCCCTTGAGTTTTTTTTTTAAATTTTATTATGGTAAAATATATATAACAAACAATTTGCTATTTTAACCGTTTATAAGTGTACAATTCAGTGACGTTAATTACATTTACCGTGTTGTGCAACTATCACCACTGTCTATTTCCAAGTTTTTCATCACCCAAAACAGAAACTCAGTAGCCCTTAAGCAATAAGTCTGTAGTCTGCCCTCCTCTCAGCTCCTGGTAATCTCTAATAAACCTCTAATAAATTTACGCTTATTCTAGATGTTCATGTAAGTGGAATCATAAAATATTTGTCCTTTTGTGTCTGACATATGTCATCCAGCATGTTTTCAAGGTTTATCCATGTCATAGCATGTATCAGAACTTCATTTCTCTTTATGGCTGAATAGTATTCCATCGTATGTACAGTAAAACTTGTGAAAGCTGGAAATTGTGTGTCTTAGTCATCTAGTGCTGCTATAACAGAAATACTACAAGTGGATGGCTTTAACAAAGAGAAGTTTATTTCTTCACAGTAAAGTAGGCTAAAAGTCCAAATTAAGGCTGTCAGCTCCAGGGGAAGGCTTTCTCTCTCTGTCGGCCATCTCATCAATCTTCCCCTGGACTAGGAGCTTCTCCGCTCAGGGACCCTGGTTCCAAAGGATGAGCTCTGCTCCTGGCAGTGCTTTCTTGGTGTTATGAGGCCCCACACTCCCTTTCCTTTTATCTCTTGTAGGATAAGAGGTGGTACAGGCCACACCCCAGGGAAACTCCCTTTACATTGGATCAGGGATGTGACCTGAGCAAGGGTGTTAGGTCCCACCCTAGTCCTCTTTAACCATAGGCAGAGATTATGATTTATAGTACATAGGAAAATCACAAAATGGAGAACAACCACACCATACTGAGAATCACATCCTAACCAAGTTGACACATGTTTTTGGGGGACACAGTTTAATCCATGACACTGTGTAAGGCAGAAACCCGTCAGAGAAGGGAAATGCAATTTTTTTCCACTAAAATGGGTATTGGAAAAGTGTTACGACTGCACCCTGTCAAAGGCGGAAAACTCTCGAGACCCAGAAAAACAAGGCAGTCCCATTGAGTTCTGGCTCTCACAGGTTTCACTGTATATACTGTATTTGTTTATCCAGTCATTTCTTGATGGATGCTTTGGTTGTTTCTGTCTTTTAGCTATTGTGAATAATGCTGCAATGAGCATTGGTGTACATGTATCTATTTGAGTCCCTGCTTTCAGGTCTCTTGGGTATATACCTAGGAGTGGAACTGCTGGGTCATATGGTAATTCTATGTTTAACTCTTTGAGGAACTGCTGGTTTTCACAGCAGCTGTACCATTTTACATATCCACCAGCAATGCACGAGGGTTCCAGTTTCTCCACATCCTCTTCAACGCTTGTTATTTCCCGTTCTTCTGTTAATAGCCATAAGCAGCCCTGGTGGCACAGTGGTTAAGTGCTCGACTGCTAACTGAAAGGTTGGTGGTTCAAACCTACTAGCCTCTCCACAGGAGAAAGATGTAGCAGTATGCTTCATAAAGATTACAGCCTCCAAGGGTAAATTGCCCTATGGGGCAGTTCTGCTCTGTCCCATAGGGTCAATTGATTCGACAACAGTGGATTTTTAATGACTAATGGTGTTGAACATGTTTTAATGTGCTCCCTTAACATTTTTTTTGTGTTTGTCATGGATTGAATTATATCCCCCCAAAAATGTGTGTATCAATTTGGCTGGGCCATGATTCCTGGTATTGTGTGATATTCCTATATGTTGTAAATCTGCCTCTATGATGTTAATGAGGGAGGATGGGTGGCAGTTGTGTTAGTGAGGCATCAATCTATTAGATTGGATTGTGTCCTGAGACAATGTCTTGAGATATAAAAGAGAGAAGTGAGCAGAGAAACAGGGGGACCTCATACCATCAAGAAAGCAGTGCTGGGAGCAGACGGCATCCTTTGGACCGGGGTCCCTGCACAGAGAAGCTCCTAGTCTGGGGGAATGTTGATGAGAAGGCCAACAGAGAGAGAAAGCCTTCCCCTGGAGCTGACGCCCTGAATTTGGACTTTTAGCCTACTTTACTGTGAAGAAATAAACTTCTCTTTGTTGAAGCCATCCACTTGTGGTATTTCTGTTATAGCAACACTAGATGATTAAGACAGAATTTGGTACCAAGAATGGGGTCTAGATGACTACATGACTAAGACATTTGGTACTGAGAGTAGGGTGCTGCTCTATCAGATACCTAAAATGTGGAAGGGGTTTTGAAACTATGAATGGATGGAGCAGTGGCAGCAGCAGAGAACCTGCAGCAGCAGAGAAGTGAAAGTGGCAGAGAAACAGCAGCAGCAGAACCAGGAGACCAGTGCAAGATGGCACTGGAGCCGACCCACGGAGTGAGAGAGCTGAGTGCCTGTGTGCAGGAGTCTTCCTCGTGGAGTGGGGGTGCCTCCAGGTACTCATCGGTGGAGCTAGGCTTGCCAACCCACAGAACGAGATTGTTGAGTGCCTGTGCGCAGGAGGCTTTCTGGCAGAGTTGGGTGCCTCTGGGCACTTACCAGTAGAGCTACAAAGCTTTACAACACTTAACCCAGCAGGGCAGATGCGGGCATGAGGCCTGAGGGCTGAGAGGCCACAGGAAACAGAAGCAGAAGCTGAAGAGACAAGGGACTCAAGAAGCCAAGCTGCCTCTGTCTCAAAAGGTATGGCCATGACCTCAGGGGTTTCAAAGGGTGGAGCCATGGCCTCTGGTGCTTCTAAGGCTGGAGTCACCACTCATATGGACTGGGAGAATGGTGCGCCTAAAGCCAAGGGAGCAGAGTTGCTGTCCCAGTGGGCCTGGAAGGCGGAGCTGAAGCCCAGGGCCAAGGGGCCTCCACTCAGAATCTGGAGAGCGTGGCCAATACCTAGAGTCTGGAGGGCAGGGCCATTGTGTAAATTGTTTTAGAGGACAGAAGATTATTTTCAAAGCCTTGAGGGCTAATGTAATGTGTTCTGCTGACTTGCTTGGTGTCTGTTATCCCTTCTTTCCCTCCAGTTTCTCCCATTTGTAATGGAAATGTCTAGCTTGTGCCTGTTCTGCCATTGTACCTTTGGGAGCAGATAACTTCTATTCTAGAATTTACAGATGAAGAGGAATTTCTGGATTTTGGACTTGGAGTTAAGACTTTTGCTATGATATGATGGGGTGAATATGTTTTCCATGTTGCAAGGATGTAATTTTTTGGGGGGCCAAAGGGTGGAATGTCATGGATTGAATTATGTCCCCCAAAAAATGTGTGTATCAATTTGCCTGGGCCATGATTCCTGGTATTGTGTGATATTCCTATATGTTGTAAATCCTGCCTCTGTG